GAGCTGGCCGCTGCATTTGACGCGACGCCCCTGGCGGCGCGCGCGCCAGCTGTGGCGCGCCAGCTCCGTCTCCTGCGCCATCGGCCGCCCTTCTATCATGCCCGGCCCATTCTAGGTATGTCCTGATCTTGTCCATCTCAGGAAACTGCGCAAGAGCCAGCTTGCCCTCCTCTATCTTCCGGGCGGTAACGACGACGCCGGGGGCAAGGCCGCGTTGCAACAGCGCTGACATCGGCACCGCAAATGGCACGTTGCCCCTGTGCGGCGCCCACTCCTTCGAGAAGGGCGCGAAAGATACCTGCGCGTCAAACGTTGGATCACAGAAGGCAGTCAGCTGCCCCGTGGTGACCTCGGCTGAACTAATGGACGATATCTTGCACAGCCCCGCCGGCGCGCTCACGGCGCGCTCAGATGCGACCACGCCCGGGTGGAAACCTTTGCTCTCTAGAACGCGCACAAGGTCGCGCGACTCCTGCTCAGACATCGCGGCAGCCCTGCAGCCATCTGCTGCAGAATTGCGATCGCTGGCGTCAGAAGCAGTCTCAGGTTTCCACTCGCCGTCTGGGTCCGCGACAACGCCGCCGCCAGACATGCTGGTTACCTCAGATACGAAGTCCGCGGTGATCGGGCCTGGCTCTCGCGCAGTACGCATTCTGGCCCGAGCTTGCCTTTCCCCACCAGGCGCAACACTGAGCGAAGGAAGAACTTCCCCACCGGCGCGCGACGCTGCTCTAAATCAATGCGGCCGCCTGCGCGCAGGGAGCCTGCGAGGCGATAGCATTTGGCAAGGTCCCCGTCGACGGCAACTACCTTCTCCCTGGCAGCTTTGCTTTCCAACCTCTCAATGTCGCTGGGAACCAATAGCTTCGCCGCGCCTCTCAATGTCGCTGGGAACCAATAGCTGCCTGCGCCGCGCGCGTTTGCAGGGGGGCATTTCTACCGCCTGCCTGTCATGGAGGCCGGTTCATCTTCGCTGCCTCAACGCAGACATCAAAAGAAGATCCTGCAGGCATCAGTTCTGCAAATTCTGCCATGCCCACGCAAACTTCGCGCCCCGACATCAAATTGGCAACGTTGCTGCTCGCATCGAGGGCGCGCTGTGCTAAATCTGGAAGGCGCGGCCACGTGGCTTCTGCCTGCCGCGGCAAGACGGTCCAACGCCAGCCCTTCGTGATAGCGGCGCAGAACCGCGCGTCCTGGGGCAGCGTCTCTGCGTTCATCTTCCCGCCCATCATCGGGTCGGCTCAGGCGTGAGGCAGGCCGCCTTCTCGCCGCCATGAAAAACTGCGCGGTGTGGCCCGACCCCACCGAGCAGAACCCCTCCGCGCCCGCCATCGGCGCCAACATGCCCCTACTGGACGAAGTCAGCTTCTGATTACATACAACCTGGGACGGCTTCATCGGATCCGCGGGCGCGCGCCTGGAGGCAACCGCCTTCTCGAGCTCTGCAGGGTCAACGCCGATATGCTTGAGTATTGCGCCAACCCTGTGGACGTTGTGTGCGTTCACACCGAGGCCAGAACGGTTCGAGGGGTAGATGATGCAATCGCCCGCCTGGGCGACGATCCGCGCGGCGACCATATCATTCAAAAAGCGGTCGACGCAATCCTTCCAAGCTGTGATCGGAGCAAGCTTGCCGTCGCGATGCATATCGATGCGCCCGCTGATGAGATCCACCAGCTCTTGCGGGTAGAAATTCTGCATGGCGCGCGCAGAAAACGCAGCCACTGCAAACGGCAAAAGCAGCTCGAGCCTGACACACCTACATCAAGACAACAACGTTCTGTTTGAAATATGATGCTGCGTGACGTGTGCTCATCGTGGAACGCGTGGTAGGGAATGCATATATGACGCATCGGAATGTGATGGTGAACACATGTGGGGATTGCAGTTTCTGCGCGAGTTGGCCAAATTCGATCGCGGCGTCGCCCGCCGGGCGTTCAAGTGCCACCTGGCACGCAATCCAGCGACGGATGCATCTTTACGCTATTGGAAAGTCACTTTGGAAAAGCCAAGTGGACAACGTGAGGAAATCAGAATCATGCGATGCGGACGGCATCCGCATGCATGAATACAATGTGGCATTCTGACCCTGGCACGCAAGAAAGCTGACTTCAACCATCAACAAATATCTCTGCGTGTAATTGCAAATCGGGCTAAGTCAAGACAAGAGCGTACCAACCGATGCACATGTTGTGCTACTTGCTAAGGTAGTTATGTTAGGGCTCAAAACTCACAGACGCTTAAGCGACATGCACATATGTTGCACAGACTTCACATATGTTGCACATACTTTACAACTGCCTTACAACGATCTTACAAGTACCTTGCAACCCAACGCAAGCCCCAAGTCCACTACAGTGCTCCCGGGCGCCCCAGGCTGCGGGCGCCGCCGGGGCTGGCTGGCTTCCTGGGCGGCGCTGCCTGGCGAGGGGGCAGGCCGCTTCCAAAACTTTACCTCCGCGTTCTCCCTCTGCAACGCCGCGGGGAATAGCCGCCCAATGCTGCCGCCAGTCGCCGCGCCGCTGACTTTCGCGGCCTGGGGGGGCCTGTCGCCGCCCGCCCCATGCAAGCGCGACGCCTCCAACGCCTGCTCCTGAGCGCCCCGGGCTGCCGGCGCTTCCAAGATGCGCGGGGGCCAGGGCCCTCCCTCGACAACTCTTCGACGTGCTTCTCTGGAAATGCACGCGGGCATCCCTGCCCGCAACTTCCGTCGCTCGCCCGCGGCCAGCCCTCGCGAACGCCGCGCGGCGACGCTTGGCCGCCGGCGCCCATGTCGCTTGGCCACCGGGCCCTGGCCCCTGAATCTGAGACATCGCGCCCGGCCTTGGGGAACGCCTCCGCGGCCCTTTCGTCGTTCAGGTCGAAATGGTCGCATCCCGGCGCCGGCGCGTCCGATGCCGCTGGCCCATCAAAGCCAGCAGCGCGTCGGGCGGCAGCGCCGCCGCAGTCGACAGTCTTGCCAGCCCCCGCGGGCGCTGGGATCTTGATCTAGAACTTGTCATTCTAATCCGCTGCCTGCTCGAGGATCGCGCCTGTGTCGATGGCGAAACTCGAACGGGAGACCGAAAGATGCCAGTCGGGGGCTATTTGGCGCGAGCGCGCGGCTGCCGCTCGAAAACCCGCGCGCGGGAGTGGCTCGAACGCGGCGCGAGAACGAATCGCGGAGCGCGCGCGGCGCTGTTTCACGGGTCGGTGGGCCAATCCTGCCGTCGAAGACGCGCCCGCCTGCGGCCCGTCGAACGGGGCCGGCGCTGGCCAGAAGCAAAATGGACGCATCCATTTTGAATGAAGCCGCTTCTCCCCCGAAGCCGGGCAGCCAAAAGTTAGCGTTGCGCGCGTGTGCACATCTACCGCAACGTGACCTAACAGAGAGATCCCCCGCCAAGAAAGGTCCATGTCTCGCGAAATCTCGAAAACTGCATGTCGCAGGCAATCGAAGGAGCTGCGCGGAATCGCAACTTAAACTTTTGAGAAGAGGATTTCCCAGAAAACTGACGAGAACTTCAGGGTCGCCCGGGGCGCCAGCCGCGCGCCCGAGCCGTCTGGCAGAGCAGCCGCGCCCAAGGCTCAAGACAGCACTGCGTTTGGCCAAGCGGAATCCGCCCGACCGAATGGGACATTCCCTCCAACCCCTTCCCTTGGCCCTCCCTCTGCAGCCTGCATATCCCAAAGCCCCTCCTCTGTTCGACGTGTAAGTTGCCGCGGGCGGGATAGGGAACGGTCTGGAACTAGGGCTCAGGCAGTGCTTGAACGGGGGGCGGCCCGTTCCTGGACGCGCGCCGCGCCTCTCGAACTTGGTCCGTAAGGGCAACGATGTGCGAAACACGACGACGCCCCTACTAGAAATGAGAGCCGCGCGCAGTCGCACGAGATTGCGCTCTCGCGCACCTGATGGAGAAAGTCACGGACTTGACGCGCATCCTAGCTCCCCCCTGCACCCAAGAAGACAGAGCATGGGACTTGGAAGGCCAACAAGAAAACTGGATTTACGCTGATACCTTTATGATGTTTATGCGTTTTTCGTTGCAGAAGCACCCTCCGTACCTACGTAAACACTTCGCCATGATTTCCAACGGGTCAATATCATGCTTGGGGCCCACCGACGCACGAAGTGGGGGAACAGTTCGACAAACGTTTGCGGACTGCGTCTTCTTAGTCTGTTCCACGATATCCACAATGGCTTCGCAGTGCTTGAGCACCTGCTTCTTCTTTCCATCGAAAAGCTCACGCGCCTGCTGCAAGGCGTCTTGCGGCGGCGACTCCCTGCAGCGACCGCTCGACCTGCTCGGGCTTCGTCTGCTTGCGCTGCAGGAGGTCCCCGAGGCCCGTGTGCTGGACAGATCCGACGGCTGCGCCTCCTCCGCCTTCTTGCAAACAGACTCGCGATCGCTGGAAAGCTGCGCGACCGTCCCTACGCCCTTCGTTCGAATGCAGCAGCGTGCCGAGCTGCTTTCCGAGAGCGTGGTGGGGTCGCGCCCCTGTTCCT